ACTGAGGGGGATATCACTGAGGGGGGCATCACTGAGGGGGGTATCACTGGGGGCATCACTGAGGGGAGCATCACTGAGGGGGGCATCACTGAGGGGGGCCATAGTCGGGGTGCATCTCTGAGGGGGGTATTGAGGGTTTGGGGCATCACAGTGACATAGCCAGGAGTGGGGTTGGAGGTGGGGGTGGGGAGAGTGTGAGGGGATACATCACAGGGTTGGTGGGAGTGGGGGGCATGGGGGTGATTCTCTGGTGTCACGAGGGGCATCTTGGGGTGTGTGTTTCCGTGGTGACGAGGCGCGGAGGAGCAGAATTGTCAGGAAACCAGGAGAAGAGGGTGAAAGGGTGATGCGGGAGTGGGGTCACATTGGTCCCAGGGGAAGGGATTCCCCGTGACAGAGTGGGAGATGGTGGCAGGGGACAGGGAGCATGGTGACTGAGTGTAATTTGCTAGCAGTTAGTGTAACTCAGACCCACATCTCTGAAACCATTGTGTGTAATGAAATCCTGACGGGAAACACAGAGTGAGCGAGGAACGGTCACCGGACCCAAAACATTAACTCTGTTTTTTCCTCCACAGATGCTGCCAGACCTGCTGAGCTTTTCCAGCAACTTTGTTTTTGTTCCTGATTTACAGCATCCGCAGTTCGTTCAGTTTTTACAGAGTGAGCGAGTTTGTTGTGTGTTCAGCGATAGAGTAAAGGGGGAGAGGGTTAATCTTCATCATTGAGGCTGGGAGAGTGATCGAAATGATTTTAACTCTGAAATGGATCCCAGAAACAGCAAGGCACAGAAGGTGGGAATGTTTTTGGGATTGCTGCTGTTGGTGGGTGGACTGTATGAGGAATGTGAACAGGAAAATATAGGAGCCTGTCTCTTAGTGATGTAGCAGTGTGCAGTGATGCTGTGCAGGTACGCACAGTGGCAAATACACAACACTTTAGATCAATGTGTGGAGGAGGTAATAGCCTGGTGGTTTTAACACTGAACTGTTACGATGCAGACAAAAGAGAACTGCAGATGCCGTAAGTTAGAAACAAACACAGAAACACCACACCCGGCACTTTTCCCTGCAACCGCAGGAAGTGCTACACCTGCCCCTACACCTCCCCCCTCACCCCCATCCCAGGCTCCAAGAAGACTTTCCACATCAAGCAGATGTTCACCTGCACATCTGCTAATGTGGTATACTGCATCCGCTGTTCCTGTTGTGGCTTCCTCTACATCGGGGAAACCAAGCAGAGACTCGGGGACCGCTTTGCAGAACACCTACGCTCGGTTCGCAACAAACAACTGCACCTCCCAGTCGCGAACCATTTCAACTCCCCCTCCCATTCCTCAGACGACATGTCCATCCTGGGCCTCCTGCAGTGCCACAACGATGCCACCCGAAGGTTGCAGGAACAGCAACTCATATTCCGCTTGGGAACCCTGCAGCCCAATGGTATCAATGTGGATTTCACAAGTTTCAAAATCTCCCCTCCCCCCACCGCATCCCAAAACCAGTCCAACTCGTCCATGCCTCCCTAACCTGTTCTTCCTCCCACCTATCCCCTCCTCCCACCTCAAGCCACACCCCCATCTCCTACCTACTAACCTCATCCCGCCCCCTTGACCTGTCCGTTCTCCGTGGACTGACCTATCCCCTCCCTAAGTCCCCACCTACACTCACCTTTACTGGCTCCATCCCCGCCTCTTCGACCTGTCTGTCTCCGCTCCACCTATCCTCTCCTCTATCCCTCTTCTATCCGCCTCCCCCTCTCTCCCTATTTATTTTAGAACCCGCTTCCCCTCCCCCATTTCTGAAGAAGGGTCTAGGCCCGAAACGTCAGCCTCTCTGCTCCTATGATGCTGCTTGGCCTGCTGTGTCCATCCAGCTCTATACCTTGTCGTCTTGGATTCTCCAGCATCTGCAGTTCCTACTATCACAGAAATAGCTCTACAGGTCTGGTAACAGCTGTGAAGAGAAATTCGAGTTAATGTTTCAGGTCCAGTGACCCTTCCTCAGACCCGAAGTGTTCACTCTGATTTTGCTGCACAGTGTGCTGCTGAGCTTTTCCACCAATTTCTGTTTTTGTTCTTGATCTTGTTGAGTCACAGAACAGGTTGGAAGGTTGGAGTGGCTCCTCCTTCAAATGTTTAATTCTTGTTTCTGTTGAAATGCTGTAGCGCCAAGAGACGGAAGATGTCAGACAAGATCCTACCGCAGAGGGTGAGTGAGCTGGAGAGAGGAGGAGGAAACCAGCCCAGACTGGAGGAGGTGTAAGAGGGATCTGGTGCCTGGATCACAGAACTCACTGGGATCTGCTCGGTCCTTGTGTAAAGTCCCGAGACAGTGGAGTTTCATCAGAGACTGGGGGCAGGAAGAGAAATTATTCAAATGCTGCCCGCTGCAGCATTATTACTCCCAGACCCCTTTCCAATCTGGGCAGCCCCCACCCATGGGGAGGCAGTGCTATTGTGGTAATGACTGTTAATTCCAACACCCAGGAAATATTCTGGGACCCAGGTTCGAATCCCACCATGGAGCAGATGGTGGAATTTAATTTATGGTGTGGCCCAGACTAAACCCCCTCAAAATATATTCACTAGATAGTCTAGACCCTAACTTTTTCTTGTTTTAGAGGTAAGTTTAAGGTGTAGCATTATTGATGAGATTCAACTGGTCAAACTACTTGACTTTAAGCCAAACACTCTTTTTTGTACATTACAGTTAAAATACAGACAAAATAAAAATAAAAGAAATGGCTTAAGTATAACTATCAAAACACTTAACAAAATAATATATAATTATTCCAATTTGTAATATCCCATAATTATCCCCTTGGCAAAGACAAATTCAGTAAAATTTTAGCAGCAGGAAGAGAACCCCAACTTTTAGCTGTAACAGAGAGATGAATAAGAGATTCCATTCTCAGCTTCAAGGCCCCAGTAACTGCTACTGAAGGCTGAAACTAAACATCCTGGTTCTGTGGGAGCTTGACTACACCCATTCAGGCTGCTTCTATTATTTTAACTTTAAAAAAGAAACACCAAGGCCTCACGAGCTGTTTACTTTATTGGCTTTGAGCGGATGGCTCGATACCTCTGTCTCAACCCCTTTTCATTAAAAAAAACAGGACAAAATACACCTCTTAAACCCATTGTATTGTCAGACTTAGATGAATAAAAAATCTGGAATTAAGAGTTTAATGATGAATCTGTTGTTGATTGTCAGAAAACCCCATCTGGTCACAAATGTCTTTAGGGAAGGAAACTGCCATCCTTACCTGGTCTGGCCTACATGTGACTCCAGACCCACAGCAATGTGGTTGACTCTTAACTGCCCTCTGGGCAATTAGGGATGGGTAATAAATGCTGGCCTGGCCAGCGACATCCTCAAACCCGAACAAATAAAAAACCCATTATAGCCCTTGGCCTCGGCCTCCTCTCCCCTCCCCTCCCGTCCCATCCTTGCCTGTCATGGGTGCTGGCTGTGGAGGTGAGGGAAGAGGACAGGTGCTGGAGGAGGAAGGAGGTGGGGGATGGAGATGGGAAGATTGGGAGAGGGTGATGAGCTTGTCCATGTCTCTCTCTCTCTTTTCCACACCCACCCACCCCTCAACTCCCCCCTCAGATCCGGGAGCTGGTCCCCGAATCCCAGGCCTACATGGACCTCCTGGCCTTCGAGAGGAAACTCGATCAAACCATCATGAGGAAGAGAGTGGACATACAGGAGGCTCTGAAAAGACCAATCAAGGTACAGCCAGGGGAATGGGGCGAGGGAGGTGAGGGTTGGGGAGGAAGTGGGGCGAGGGAGTGAGAGTTGGGGAGGAAATGAGGCGAGGGGGTTGAGAGTTGGGGAGGAAACAGGGTGAGGGGGTGAGGAAATGGGGCGAGGGGGGTGAGGGTTGGGGAGGGAATGGGGCGAGGGGGGTGAGAACTGGGGAGGAAATAGGGTGAGGGGAGTGAGGGTTGGGGAGGAAATAGGGCGAGGGTGTGAGGGTTGGGAGGAAATGGGGTGTGAGAGTTGAGGAGGGAAACGGGGGGAGGGAGTGAGATATGGGGGAAACAGGGGAAGGTGGGTGAGAGTCGGGGGGGGAAGTGGGGAGCTAGGAGTGAGCGATGGGGGGTTTGGGTAGGGGCAGGTTTCCCACCCAGTAACCGCTCCCCCGGTAACCACTCCCCCCGTAACCACTCCCCTGGTAACCACTCCCCTGGTAACCATTCCCCTGGTAACCATTCCCCCAGTAACCATTCCGCCGGTAACCATTCCCCCGGTAACCACTCCCCAGGTAACCATTCTCCCATTAACACACCCCATTGACTGCTCCCCCTGGTAGCCGCTCACCCGGTAACCGCTCACCCGGTAACCGCTCCCCCCCCCGGTAACTGCTCCCCCCGGTAACCCCACTTCGTCTGGTTTTGCAGCAAAAGCGGAAGTTGAGGCTCTACATCTCGAACACCTTCAACCCGGCTCGGAGTGAGACTGAAGACTCCGACAGTAGCATCGCCTCCTGGGAACTCCGAGTGGAGGGAAAGCTCCTCGAGGATGTGAGTGTCTGCGTCCCTTCACTCCATCGCCTCCTCTCCCCTCCCATCCCTACCTCCCCTCCCATCACCTCCTCTCCCCTCCCATCGCCTCCTCTCCCCTCCCATGCCTACCTCCCCTCCGCTCATCACTCCTCACTCATCTCTACTCCTCCCAGTCAGACGCTGCATCGACTGTGACAGTAGCCCCCACAGAGTTAAAATTTCCCTCAGCGCTGACCCTCCGACAGTGCGGCGCTCCTTCAGCACTGACCCTCCAACAGTGCCCCGCTCCCTCAGCACTGACCCTCCGACAGTGCGGCACTCCCTCAGCACTG